CTTCAAAGTAGGCTCCTTTCGAAATAATACATTTATGCCAACGAATAATCCAATCATCAAAACATTTTTTAAACGCATTTTCCGAAATCGACTTCAGTTCTCGACGCGAATTCTCTTTTATGTCTTCTATCGACTGAAAACGAGTGCCCCGAAGTGGTAATTTGAGTTTTGGAAAGAGAAAAAAGTCAGCCGGAGCCATATCTGGTGAATACGGTGGTTGTTCGATGATATTTGTTGAGTTTTTGGTCAGAAATTCGTTCACAATGATAGCCTTGTGAGATGGTGCATTATCATGGTGCAAAATCCATGAGTTTGTTTTCCACAAATCTGGCCATTTTCGACGAATTTGCTCTCTCAAACGCCGCATAACGCCCAGATAATATTCTTTACGATTTTCAATCACCATTTCCTTCACTTTATCGATGTTAACTTCAGAAGAACTTGAAGACGTTGATGGCCGACCAGAGCGAGGCAAATCTTTCACCACATCTCGACCGCTTTTCAATGCACTGTACCATTCATATGCACGTGTTTTTGATAAAGTCGATTCACCGTAAGCCTTCTGTAACATCTTCAGCGATTCGGCACACGAAATTCTATTTGCAATACAAAATTTGAGACAAATTCTTTGTTCGATCTTTTCATTCATTGTAAAAATCGCAAAACACACTTGAGATGAACTGATAAAATCGAGCACGATAATCACATTAAATGACAGATGGCACTCCAGCTCCGCGTCAGTATAGAGGACAGTTATGCCAACTTAGCGACAAAAAGAATTTTGACAATTCCTTTAAGCGGGCTTTTTAAATGATCAATTCCCGGTACTTTTTTGACAGAATGTACATTGGAGAAACTGGGAGAATGATCAATCTACGGATAAAAGAACACCAATGTGATGTCAGGCTAAAACACGTCACGCAGTCAACATTATCAGAACACAACATCGAAACGGGACATCAAATACTGTTTGATAAAACGATCACAATAGCCAACATTACTTCATACTTTCCAAGGAAGTATAGAGAAACCATAGAGATAAAGAAACATCCTAACAATCTAAATAGAGATAATGGCTACAACATAAATAATATGTAGAAGGCCTTTCTTCTGGTTATTGAGGACTGACCGATTCCTCCTCTCCCCCCCCCCCTCCCCCACAATTCTCTTCTTTTCCCCCCACCACTCCAACAAGTAGCGAATAAAAAGGAACGACCCAGAGGAACAGCTCAGTATCAGGCTGCTCTTAGCCCTGGTGAAGTGGACTACAAGGTTCACGAAACGTTAGCATTTCAAGAATGGATTTGGACACGGAGAAAACCGGCGAAACGCATAACTTTTATACAGAAAGCACCCGTAAAAGAATAAAGTTAATATTATTTATATAATTTGATATCCGAATTACATGGAATTTAACTTGGCGCCAATTGTTGATATCAAATTTTTTATACGAAATATACAGGGTTTGTCCGGAAAGTAATAGGACTGATTTTCTTCCGCCGCGACTGTACTTCGGAGCGTGCTCGCACCGACTGGATTCGGTAGAGGGCTTTCCTAGCTAACGAACGAGCGGCTGGTCAGTTGTCTCCGAGCACCTGGAGAGTCAGGACAGGCATTTTCGCGCGACGTGTTTCTGTGAGTGGTGCAAGCCGAAAATGCAGCGTTCGTTAGAGCAGAGGTACGCGATTAAATTCTGTGTGAAACTCGGTAAATCTGCGACAGAGACGTTTGATATGATCAAGCAGGCTTACCCAGATGTTGCTTTAGCAAGAAGTGGTGTGTTTCGGTGGCACCAGGCCTTTTTGGAGGGCCGGGAAGAGGTCGCCGATGAAGACCGTGCTGGAAGACCTTCGACTTCGACAAACACCGACAATGTGACTCGTGTGCACAAAGTTTTGAACTCAGACCGTCGACTAAGTATTCGTTTAATTGCCCAGATGTTAAATTTACCAAAATCTGTGGTTCATGACATTGTGACGGAGCATTTGAACATGCGCAAGGTGTCACACCGCCTTTCTTGTGAACAGCTACCTGACCAAGGCCGGCATCCCAACGCTTCCGCAGCCGCCCTACAGCCCAGATGTGGCCCCCCCGGACTTTTTTTTGTTTCCTCGCCTGAAAAGGCCGATGAAAGGCAAGCATTTTGAGACGACAGAGGGGATCAAAGCAGCATGCACCGCGGCTTTCAAGGCTATTCCGGAGAATGCCTTCCGTGACGCCTTCAATGCTTGGAAATCGCGCTGGCAGCGCTGCATCGACGCAGAAGGAGCCTATTTTGAAAATTTTTAAAGAATTGTAACGATTGGCTCAATAAATTTTTTTTAATCGACTCAGTCCTATTACTTTCCGGACAAACCCTGTACATATCATTAAAGTTAAATAAATAATAAGAGACAGTACCATTTGTGCTTTACTTTTTAATTTAATAGAATCTAACTTTATTAGTTAAGATTGTAGCATCTGAGTTTTAATTTTTCATTTAATATATTAATTTTTTTCGAAGAGTAATAATTTTTGACAGAGAATTAAAGTTGCCATTGCTTAAATTGGAATAAGAAGATCTTCAATAAAAATATACTTGAAAAAAAATTAAAACTACTATTAAAATTACTATTAATTTGATACTTAGTATTATATATTGTACAAAGGGCCGGTTTCATCAACTCGATTAAGCCGAATCGGTGTCAACCATAAGTGGTCAATTCTATTAAATAGCAAATACAATTAGTCAGTTTCACAAACAATTAAGTAATTGGCGTTGAAACCGACCGAAATGATTCTTCACAAAAAGCATGCGTGGTTAGCGCTTTTTTTGACCTTTTTTTAAAAAGGTAAGTTTGTATACGTATAAATAAAAACCAATACTATTTATGTTTTACTTTTTAATTTGATAGATTAGTAGTTTCCATGAAAAGGAAAGCTTTTATAGAATGAAGAAAATTTAAAAAAATAAAATATACACTGAAACAAAAATAAATTATTAACAAATTTTTATATATAATTATTATGTAGTCACATATAGTAAACACATATAATAAATAAAATATATGTATTTATTTAAAATTATCCATTTTTAGAGTTGTAGCGACACGCGCGCGCGGCGTCGCCCTCAGATATATTTTTCTTATCAAAAGAATGACAAACAATTAATATACGTATATTATGTGTTCTAATGTTTGTTAAATGTTTACAAGTTAAAATAATTAGACCGTCCATGTGGGCGTCACAGACATCCTTTTCACTCGTTCAACTGAATTGCATATTGTTAACATATGTACACATCTTTCTTCTAGCTTTTCGAAATATGAAACCTTGTCGTACCATACATGCGAGTAATATACCTATGCCATTCAGGATTCTGTAAGCCAAGCAACGATCTGAGAAGTCAGTCTCTTTTTACTCGTCGACGCGAATGCACCACGCTTTCGACTTCTGTCTAACAAATAAAGTACCAGTGTTAGCACCAACCGAGTCACCGTTATTACCGGACTACCCCTTACCCACAGAGTAAATCATATAATAGTATTTTAGTAAACATATATGTAAAACAATCATTTGTAAACAACACCTAATAAATTAATATGTTTTTAAATTAAGTTAAAATGAAGTAAAAATTAATGGCTTAAAAAATCAATTTTATTCAGTTAAAAATTGCGTTAACATAAGTTAAATTTAAAATTATTTTTCGTATGATTTTTTAAAATTAAATTATTTTTCTTTATAGATAAATTTTTTAACTTAATTTATATTGGGAAACCATATTTTGAAATGTAACTGCAAAAAATATAAATAACTTATTACTAATGTGTTTTATATATATAACTACATAACTGCACAAGAGATTTATTTGCTAATGGAATAATTTTCGTTTAAATGTATATTTTATTGCACATGTAATACAGGGTTGGCCATATTCGACGGAAAGATGTTTTTTTGTTTTTATATATAATCATGGGAAAAAAAACACATTTTTTGCTTTTCATTGTAAAAGCCATTTAATATGGTTCAAGGAGATTTGTGTACATTATTTGTTGAATATGATATCTCTTAAATGATCGCCTTGAGCCTGCATGGCGAGTAGTGCCCGTTTTGCAGCGTTTTCCATCGTTTTGAACAATGTTTCGGCCGATATGGCGGCTATTTCCTGTCGGATGTTGGTCTTAAGTTCGTCTAGGGTCCTTGGCTTGTTGACATAAACCTTTGATTTCAAATAGCCCCACAGAAAGAAGTCTGGAGCCATTAAATCTGGTGAACGCGGTGGCCATTCAAAATCACCATTTTTTGACATCAAACGTCCAGGGAACAATTGTTTCAAAAAATTGATAGTGGCTCGAGCTGTGTGTGGTGGAGCGCCATCTTGTTGAAACCAGAAGTGCTCCATACCATTATCATGAACAATTGGCATCAAAAAATCACTTTTTGGATACCTCTGAACACTGGCCTGTACGAGTGCGATATTATCATCCGATCGCCTTGGTCGCACTTTATTTGGACGCTTGGGATTAGTGAGTACCTCACCAGTTGAAAATCTTTCATACAAACGATACAATGTGTTCGCGGAAGGCGCACTTTTCACTTTATTTATTTTTCTCCATGCACGTTGAGTTTTAACAATTGACTTGTTTTGTTGAATGTAAATTTCAACAATCTGAGAGCGTTCGCGTGGCGTGTACTGTTCCATGGCACAAATTTCCTTCGACTGACGCTTCAAACGCGCTACGTCGTTACTCGATCTAACATCTCTGTCAAAAGTTACAGTGTTGCCACATCTTTCCGTCGAATATGGCCAACCCTGTATACAGGATGATCTACTGAAAATCTTAAACATTTCACTTATATTAAAGGAAGATGTTGCATCACTATTATTCATAAAATTAATATTAATAACTGTTAATATTCACATTTTTCCACAAAAAGTTGGTGTTAAAATATTCAAATTCAGAGATCTTCACCTGTATCAGTATAACAGTAATAACATTATAACATATTAAAATAATAATCTGAACTTAATATAACCATTACATTTACAAATAATAAAGAGTGATCGCAAAAAAGTGTTTTTTTCTCCGTTTTTTAGACTCCCAATTTTTGGACTGAAAAAATTAGACTGAATGTGCCCTATAATACTCTACAATGAAATATTAACTGTGATTAATGTCTGAATATAAAATTTGAATGTAAAATTTGACAGCTCACTTCCAAAATTGAGGGTCCAAAGAACGGGCGATTTTTGCGGTCACTCTTTTTAAGAAACTACATAATCAAATAACAAAATATTTACAAAGAAATATATTGGATTACCTTTATTAATGAAGATTATAAAATCTTTCACTCAATTCTCAAAATCATCGAAAATCAATCAATCAGCACAATCAAATCATTAACTATGCTACCAATTATAATGGAAGGGATTGACATAGTGCTTAGTTTGAACAAATCACGCCTCTTTTGCGAGTGGAAGTACCGTTCAAAATACCAGGCCTGCTAACTGTGAAGAAATGAATGATGTTGCTACGATCAGATGCCGCTATGTGTCCTTTTCTTTCTTTGCACTTCATTTCTAGTGCGTTTGGAGAGACGCTATTAACGCTACTTCTGTCATTTTATCTTCGTTGTTTATTAGATGTAATACAAGGATAACATATAGAAACTATATCTAGCAAGTGCGCTATCAGCGTCATAATCGATGTCATAAATCCCTATAAAATTCCCATAGAAAATAGACATGTATCATGTGACCATGCATTGCCAGCGCCACATTTGCCTCTTGTGCCAAAAATTCCAAAAGGACAAATTCCTTACTCCGTAGCCGGCGACGACGACGTTTCTTAATCTTAACATAAAAGTTTCAGATTCGGATTTTGCTTCGCAATATCTCGACTCGTAGGGCACGTAGAGAAAAAATAAAAATACTTTCATTATATATTTAGACCGGATGCAATCGATTGATTCTTAGAATCTGATCAGTTCAGCCCTTATTGAGATCTAATAATCTAGATCCCTGGCAACTCGCGTAAAGTAGTCACGGCAGTGTCGCTGCGCCGAGACATTACCAGTGTCTCCAGATTCGGTAATGTTATTATACCAATACAATGTATGTTAAAAATGCGAGTGCTACTATAAAGTAACTTTAAAAAAAAAAGTCACAGTAGTAAGTAACTTTTTTTTTTAATTAAAGGAAAAAGTTCGAACTTCATGTCGCTGCAAATTGGCATTTTCTCCCAAACAATTTTACAAAGTGCGTTCTATTAAACTTTGAAATTTTTAATATGACAAACACACCTTGTATTCTGAGAATTACAATGGTAGAGGTGTATTTTAAACTCTCATATGTCCTTAAAGCAGAGATTTGAAGTTTTAATTAAAAACAAAATCATTATTTATGATAATTTTTTGCAAATTTTTCATTAGCAAAAGTTGACCAATTTTGCTTAAAATTTTTCTATACTTTTTCTATCATTTTTTTGAGCAGTATATAATTTACATAAAATGATTATATATATATATACGAGGTCTGGCTATTAAATAACGAGACTGCTTATGAAAAAATTTTATTTTAAAAATTATTCTACAATTGAATGCTCCCCTTCAATGTACTCCTCTCTCCTCGCCACACACCGTTCCATTCGTTTTTTTCCATTGGTCAAAGCAATGCTGGAAGTCTTCTTTTGTAAGAGCATTTAGGAGCTCCGCCGATTTTCGCTTCACCTTTTCCATCGACTCGAACCGGGTTCCTTTTAAGGCAGACTTGATCTTCGGAAACAGGAAAAAGTCACAAGGTGCTAAATCAGGCGAGTACGGCGCGTGTTCGAGCACTGGAGTGCCTCTAGCGGCTAAATAACACTTCACAGACAGCGCGTTATGGGCAGGTGAATTGTCCTGGTGTAAGATCCACGACTTGTTTTTCCACAACTCCGGCTGTTTCTTACGAACTCGCTCTCGCAGTGTTGCCAAAACTGTCCGAATGCTCATACGACGATCTCCGCGCACAATTTCATTAATTTTGGTCACTGTTTGCGGAGTTGAAACAGAGACAGGTCGACCTGGATGTTGGTCATCTTCGGTGCTCTCTCGGCCTTCAGAAAACCGTTTATACCATTCGAAAACACGCGCACGAGATAGAGAATTCTCACCATAGGCCTCTTTC